ATATTCTAATAACAACTTAGCCGATAAAAAAATCTTCACTCTTTTCTCTGTCCATGTGGTAATTTTTTTCATTCTCATTAAGGCAGATCAGTTTTTGTACAAGATGTACTCTGTTGTGTCCGGAATAGCGCACCTACGCGTGCATCTATTAAATAAATAAAATAATAAAATAAATAAATAAATACAAACAAATAAATAATATAAATAACTAAACTAATATAAATAACTGATATAAATAACAAACAAAAACAAGTCATAAATAACTGAATAAATCAAATGGACGCTGTGGACTACTTGAGCTGACAAGGAGGGTCTTTCAGGACATGGAGCGTTTTTTCAAAATGGTTTCCTGCATTTGTAGAGGCTCATGTGAGGAACACAGAACCATGGTCCATTTTTCCTGAACGCCCCTAGGAATGTCAAAACAGGGGGAAGAAATGGTCCAAAGTTCGATCCTCCGTGATGACAAATTTTTGCAATTTATGTTGGCGCCTCCAAATTGCCGCAAAACACGACAATGACATCTATTCTCGACGATGGCGCCATTTGGCGGCAATCTGGGGGCGCCAAACTATATTGCAAAAATTAGTCATCACCGGGGATCGAACTCTGGACCATTTCTTCACCACTGTTTTGACATTCCTGGAGGCGTTCAGGAAAAATGGATTATGGTTCTGTGTTCCTCGTATGAGCCCCACAACATGCAGAAAACCGTTTCGAAATGTCTTGAAAGACCTCCATTATGAGGGAATAGTCAATGGTTGTTTGTGACTTGCTTCGGATTTTGAGACGTTTTTTACTCAAATGCTTCGGAAATTAATGAAGATTAGGCAGTGCTCAGCGAGCCAGTCATTATGGAGCAGAGCTGCGCAGGTTAGTTCGTTCATTGCTTGAAAGATCGTTTGTGCTACATGTGGCTACGCCTTGTCGCGAAGGTTAGCTCTTCCACTTCTTAGTTGCAGAACCTGCGGTTTTCGAAGTGTCTCGCCAGTGGTTGTACAAGTTACTCAACCTGAGTTCGGATATGTGTGGTAGTCCACGAAACCCTCGGCTTTGTCATCTTCCTCGCCCTCTCCCCCCACTCCCCAAAGGTTCGAGAGGGCGTTTTTTGACGAATTACCTTGGAAGTTGGGTAAATTCTCATCAATCCAAGTCCTGTAGTTTTTTCATTGTAGTTGGTTATCACATAAACTAAATTGATGAAATGCAAAACAAAAGAATGTGGACGATTTTTTGAAAAAAAAATGAACTGTATGATGAATGTGTGAAAAAATCAGTGATGAAGACAAACTTTGACGGCTTCATGGCGACGCGTTTGATTCAAGAGCAGAACAAGACAAAGCTGCTTTTTTCTGAGATCGGTCTAAATCACCTTAAGAAGAAAATTCAAGAAAAATGGGGGCTCTCAGGTTAGCCGTTGTTCAGCTCCACTGTGTAGCCAACGGTGGACACTACTCCCAAAGACACGGTGAACCGAGTATGGCATCCTCTCTAGCTACGTTTTGTAGGCAGAAATCTTAACCCGACTTACTATCTTATCAATGTCGACATTTCAATTTCTTCGAACCAGAAGTCAGGAAGGGGCTTCTGCTGGACGAGGCCCAGAATAACCTTACCCTGCAAAGCATGGGGACGCTAATAATGGTGGTTCATACTAAACACTATATCAGAGAAGTGAAAAAGTAATAAAATCGAAAAGGGTCAATTGGTCTCAGAAATTAGGTGCCAACCTAATACTCTCTGCAAATATATTTTATTTTTGGACAACCTATTAACTCGCTGATCCTGCGAATATCCAAAAGTCCTTGCGGGTTGTCTTCCTTCGAAAAATGTGCCTGCCAATTTTTGTCTAGAATTTGAAAGTTGGACTATGAAAAGAAGATCTTGCTTCTTTACAGAGGGAATATTGTACAAGAAGGAGGGACTAATGTGGTACAAGACCGGTGAAACTCTAGCAGATTGTGGCGCACGAAAAAAGGAAACGGAAGATAAATGGCAACGACCTTATATCGATTTGGTGCCAGAAGAAAAAGAGGTCCCACTCCCAACTATTGGGCTTTGTGAAATTTTGCCGTAGAAACTCATTAAACAAGTGATGTTTGAAGCTCACTGTTTTAATTGCACTGTACTGGAATGATACACCGAAAACAGAGCGCATTCTTTGTCGTAAACCTGTTCGGGACAACGCACTGGGGTGAATAAGCTATTTTTGGGAGGCAATGTTACATCCATGTTCCTTGTGCACTGGGGTGAATAAGCTATTTTTGGGAGGCAATGTTACATCCATGTTCTGTGGTGATCACTGACTTAGAGTTTCAGATGCTCCCTAAGGGAAAGCGATAAAATTGGACTGGACACCGGGTAGCTTGTTGCTTTAAAAGTGGGATTGGTTTTGCGCACAATCAATATTTTTTCACATAGGATAAAGTGTGCAAACAGTTTTGTGGGCTATACTAGACTGGGGACTAACATACACCTCTTCTACCCTCGTACCTTCCTTCACTTTGATGCTGTTCACACTGAAAGAGATGCTCCAGACTTGCCCACTTATCGAACACCTGACTGACCACTTCTTTTCAACTCATGCTGCTCGATAGCCATTCAAGGGAGGATTCCACGATTAGAAAATTGCCTAGTAGGGGGACAGATGGACCTTCTGAGGGCGCGGAGTGACATGCGATTGGTAGGGAAGGATTCGAACTTGGCGGTCTAGCATGGCTCACTGTAGGTACATAAGCCGTTTGAACACGGTGGGCACCCGAAGTCAGTGTGAATTATGGTGTTCCCAGCGCAGTCGCGTTCAGTGCGCGGCGCATTGGCGCGCTAAGACCCCACGTGCCACGCCATCCCACGCGAGGCCGGTCCAAATGCGTGCCATCCTCCACCTTCTAGATTAACTGCGCTTGGTATAGTTGGCGAGTTTGCTCGACGCATTCTCTCCTCGTTGAGAGAGCGCAGAGAAAACGAGAAGTGGGAGGCGAGCACACATGAAAATCGATAACACGTGACATTGCGCGCCCCAGTGCCAACGCTTCAGCGCGTCAATGCGTCGCGCATTGTACGTGACTGCGGCAGGAACATCATAATTCACGCTGACTTCGTGTGCTCGCCGTGCCCAAACTGCTTCAGTCCACTGTTGCCGCAGTTGACGCGGTACGCCCACGGACTTAGCAGAGAGAGCGTTTCTTTTGAAGAGGGCACGATGAGAGTCGCATCAATGCGGAAATCAACGGGCAAGGATCCATTTCTCGGGTTCTGGGCCGTTTCTCATGGTTCTTCCTTCTTTCGTGTACCACTCACCATCCCTAGGTTAATTTGAAATGGGTTGCTTTTTCATCGTGAATTCTGTCCTTTAACTCTCACAACGCCTCTGCGGAACTGCGAAGAGCCTGTGGGACCCCTCGTCGGACGCCAAAGTGAGTGCAGTGTAGACCCTGCCAGAAACCCGTGCTTGACTTTCTCTCTCAGTCAGCTTCTTTGAGTCCCAGTGCTTACAGAAACGCTGGTGTAACGTCAATTCTCACAAGTGCTTGGGGTGTTCGGAGCATGTATCCAGAAGATAAGAGTGCCTAACAGGTTCCAATGCGACGCGAACCCCTTTCGGCTGGGGGACGGTGGAGGGAGGAGAGAAGGAGGAAAAACAATCACACGCAGACCTAAGGCACAGTCAGGCACAACCCAGGCAGAGGTCGTGTGAACAATTTCCTTCGGTCCGTGTGGACTCCTGGAGGACAATCACGATGTGGCATTCCCGTGCACGGAAATCACCGACAAGAGCGCTAGGGCCTTGCAAAGTAAGCTGCTGCAAGCTGCAGATTTTTTTTCTTATCAGGCTGTTGTCTGGCGCTCTCTCATCTGTAGCGCTCTCTCGCCTCATACTCTCCTCTCCGCGCTTAGTCTCTCATTCCCTTAGCACAGCCGATTAGGAAGGTGAGTGAGCCCTCAACCTGAGCGTTTTCGACGGATTCTTTTCCTTTTTCTTTACTGCCGGCCCATTTCGCACCAATACATTCGCATTCGTGTGCAAGAGCCACACCAATTTGATCCTGGGTCATGCCTTTAAGTATAAGATGTTATTGCAACGATATGTCATGATTGTTTTAATGCACTGTACTCTGTAATACACCTTTCTGTGCATACGAGTCACCTCCACGAGGATGACTTAAAGGAGGAATTCACGATTAGAATGGAGGTCGAGGAAGAAGCAATTCGCATCGAAAAATTTGACCTCGGCGACCTATTATGCCTCAAAGTTGGCGGGTCTGGCGATCTCCGCCCACCGATCAGCTGATCACTCGCCGCAGTCTATACGTGGCGAGTGATTAGATAGCAGAGAGAGCGTAGTGTTGAAGAGGGCACAGCGATGAGAGTCGCATCAATGCTCAAATCAACGGGCAAGGAAGGGGTCCCATTTCTCGGGTTCTGGGCCGTTTCTCATGGTTCTTCCTTCTTTCGTGTACCACTCACCATCCCTAGGTTAATTTGAAATGGGTTGCTTTTTCATCGTGAATTCGTCCTTTAAAGCATCCTAGTATTGGTGCCATAAGTGGGAGGAAACACAGCGGACGAAAAGCTAATGCGGGAAGGGAGGTCCCGGTGGTTGACGAGAGACCATTCTGGTCCCGGTGGTCCGTATGTAAATGAAATATCGAGAGCAGTGTACCATCACTCAGTAGATTCGTGCTCTTGTAGGGTCTTGCTAGTGGTAGCTCTTGCTAGTTTTTGCAAAGCTGCGGGCGCGATGGGGCCGAGAAACTAGTAACTGAGCATCGATTTCGTGGATGCTGGCACGGTTTGTCCAGTACAATTCTGAGGGGGTCCGTGAGAAGGAAAATTATGCAGAAAGACACATGACCGCTTGCAAAAATGTTATCTCTCTAGCATGATGTTTACATTCTGACATATCTTGTTATCCCTGTATAAAAACCATCCAGTGAAGTGGGTAGGCCTCAGTTGTACTCGTCACGGATGTATTGAAATCATTTCACACTTGTTGATCAATGGAATCGCTGCAAGAGACATATGCTAGCCTAAGAAGTCAGCCGCTAGGGGCCCAGATTGCTATCGTCAGTGTCGCTCTTCTCCTTACTCTCATGGCCATTGGACTACGTACGTTGTTTTTCATTCGGAAAACAGTCGTTTTCTTGGGAAGGTCCCATTTTCACCATATCTAATCGGGCGACCTGCCCTTAATCTGCTTTTTGCACCATTTAGCCTTAATTTTCAGCGATTTTGATTAAACCATCTTCTGATCTTGTTGCGATCACAGAAAGTTGTGGCGGGCACATGACCGACGATGTGAGGCGCACCCTCTTACGTGTACATAACGAAGCACGATCTAAAGTGGCCCTCGGAGATTACAAAATATCTGCAGAGGGAAGTGCACTTACGGAACTTCCACCGGCTGTTAGGATGTACCAACTGGTGAGTTTGATAACAAACTTTGAACAAAACCACCATCCTCCACAACCGCTCACCCCGCTAGGTCTCGCAAAATCGACGGTACTTTGGATAGAGGGCACAGTGTTCAGAGTTGGCGATCGTACGTGCGATTAGGCGATTAGTCTATAATGAAAAATATACGTATAGATTAGGCGAGTAGGCGAGTAGGCGATTAGGCGAGTAGGCGATTAGGCGGGGAAGACTACATACGTATTGATTGGTTTGCTCCGCCCATAGAACGTTGTAGGCGAGTAGGCGATTAGGCGATTAGGCGATCGCTCAATGGGCGGAGCAACAAATCAATACTTCCTTCTCTTATCGCCTACTCGCCTACTCGCCTAATCGCCTACTCGCCTACTCGCCTAATCGCCTAATCGCCTAATCGATACGTATACTTTTCTTTTTGAATCATCGCCTAATCGCCTAATCGCACGTACGATCGCCAACTATGAATGCTCCATAACACGAAGTGGAAAATGCTTGTGGGCCGCTATCGCAGGACACAGGGGCATTGTGGTGGCAGTGCACTTAAAACTGCATGAAGCATCTCCTATTTGTTGAAAATAGGGCTGGGGAGAGAGCGGTGCAGAGAAAATTCAGGGGGATGTGTGAGCGATTCTCGTTTTCCCCAGAGTTCCTGTTCCCTCCTAAGCTTAGTTCTATAGGGTGCCCTCTTATCTTGCGATAGCGCCGCTTGTGGTACGTAGTCTGCAGTATATAGTAAGTAGTTTTCGGGCTGATCAAGAGACAACGGACCGCCTCATGAGTGAAATGTTGTTAGAGTGATAGCTGATTACATGCGCTCAACATCGATGCATATCTCAAAGTATGCATGCTCATTTGGACGAATCACAATTCATCAGTTATGGGAGAGGACGGGTGTGATACAGACGTGTGCGACGTGTCGTGCTAGAAAGATTTTTCAACTAAGGTCTGTTAAGATTGGGAGAAAATGCCTGAATTGACGCAACAAGGCCAAGAACCTTGTCAAAATCGTAACCAGCTGAAATATCAGTTCCACGCCACCCAATTAGCAGGTTGGGAGCTCGGACAATTCCCAAAAAGATTAGGGACGCAATGCCAGTCAAGTAGGCACGGCGAACTTTTCAATATGGTAAGCGTGAAATGTACGTGGGGACTGCACTGTTATCGCGTCACGAGAAACGGTACGCCCTAGAAAAATTGGGCCTCTCCCTCCCCCTGAGGCTTATTTTATCAATCGATAACGTATCAGATTGTCCCAAAAGTTCGTGCCACATTCAAATATTTTGAAACTATGTAAGATTATCCCAACAAAAAGCGAAATCCATAATCTATATATGGACCATCATCAGACTGACTTGTTGCCAACGATTCAGCGGAGAGTAAGACGTGCTCCCAAAAGAGCGCAGCTTCACAGCAGGCCGAAGAAGACAGTAGGGTGGATTTCGAGCTTCTCCTTTGAATTTTTTTCTGTAAGGTGATTCCTTAGCTAGGAGAGTGTTTGACCTCTGGAAGAAGGCTGACCATCGCTGTAAGGTCGATCTGATTGGCCTTCCCAACTGGGTTTCCGAATCTAGAGCCGTGTCATTTTCGAAACACGTGTCTCGACTGCCGTGGAGTGGACATAGTGAATTTCGGGTGTATATAATTGGAGCTTGCACCCTTCGGTCTTGATTACATTAGACCTGGTCTGTTACAAATTCGAAACTGGGAAGAAGTTCCCACTGTCTGATTCACGATTTGCTTTCCAAACGTGGACGGAAACGTTTGTTGCATTTGAGAATTTTTCTGCCCCTCTGATGGCTACAGCCACTGGTGCTTCTGCAGTTGATTAGCATGCAACCATCACTTCTCATCAGCAGTAGCGGCGTTGTTCAGCCACCGCGTAGGGATGGAACAGGATAGAAGATGTTGACAGAACTCGTGTTGCACTCTTGTGATTACTGGTCAATTCATGAGGATTTCTTTGTCCAAGCCTCTACAATTTTCCAGAAGAAGGCAGACCTCTATCAACCGTGTACCTGAAATGTCTGACTGTGGGTTTCATAGCAAAATAACTCGTGCGGGTTGGCTTCAATGAAAGAGCACAGCAAGTCCGAATTGGCCAACGGTCGTCTCCCGGGTCAAAATGTTCTCCAGAACTAGACAAGTTCAACTTTCTGATGCAACATGGTGAACAACGACAAGGAGGTGTATCGCGAAGCGAATGTTACTCCTGGTTTCGATCAAAAACATGGATCTCTTCTTTTCTGATTTTGAATTCGGAGAAAGCAGCTAAGGCAGACATGCTTCCAGTGCAGGTTACTCCACGAAGTGGGCTCCTTGTAGCCTACTTGGTCATATTCAGAAATCGCTAAATGAAGTTTTGGCATAAGGTGCAAAAAAGTGGCACGAACTTATGGGACAGCCCAATCTCAATTTTAGCGCCGCCTCAGCGCTATAAGGAGATTTTTCCTGAATATGATATAGAGGGGGAGAGACGGGAACCTCTTTAGATGGTGATCAAAAGTGTTAGCACGTGGTCATTAACCCATTCGCGACCGCGCCGGTTTGCGCAATAGCAGGAGAGTCAGGAGATTTTTCTTCAATAAAATTTGAGTGGATGGAGATTTCCTCTGCCCAGGGCTGGCGTAGATGAATGAGGGTATGAAGATTCTTTTCAGGAAAAAACTTTCCAAATTCCATTTGAAACACGGCAGCCACCGGTGGATACCATTGTACAAGTGAGATCTTTGTCAGCCACCGGTGGCTGCCATTGTCACGAATGAGGTTAAACGTTCACTAGATATGCGATCGTTGAATGATCGTTGTTCGTGGAAATATAAGCTTTTGTGTTCATTTACCACAATCATGCCATTGCAAAACTGATAGCGCAAATCCTGTGAGGTACCCAAATTTTTTAGTGTTTGTCTATTCATTAGCTGCCCTACCACTTAATTCATTTTGGGGACGGACTGTCAGACACAAATACGGACATACAGTCCATGTCCGAGAGTTATGGTAGGCGTGTCCGGGAGTGACTCCGCTGATATCCGGCGATGTATGTTGGAAGCAGCTTCTCCGCGCGACATCTATCAAGTGCGGCTGCTGCAAGTGACACGCCTACCATAGCTTTCGGATATGAACTGTACATACAAACCAACACACCAAGTTAGCGGTTTATATAATGGAAGGATATCGCGAGAATAAGAAGGTATTCAACTGCCAACAATCCCGAAATCCAAAGCATGGAAGTTGTTAACGCTATCGGCTGGTAGTAAGGGTGCTCCAGTGTCTTTGCTGGTGTTCCATCCGGCTCCGTATCGGGGAGAACTTCTGAACGCCACTTCTTGCGTCCGGTGGTTGCAGACAGAAAGTAGAATATTCATTAGCGAATAATCTGAACATAACAATAATGGAGGGGTTTATTTACCCAAAGGAAATCATGGTTTAGGCGCGAAACGTGATCAACACCTCAAGGGTACCAACGACCTTTGACCTATACAACAGTACATACAATGCGCGCTCGATCGGATAGGGCACCTTCCACTACAAAGGCCAAGCGCTAAGCCCTTATTTTGCTATTTCATCTAGACCTCGCTGCTACGTTGGAAAAAGGTGCTAGGAAAGCACATACTGATTGGGTACTGCTCTGCTGGAGCAGTTGTACAGATGCCTCATTTTTTTATCCCAACCACTAGCTGATTTTCAGAAGTACAACTGCTCACTGGAGAGGTCTGCTCTAAATTGGGCTGGACAGGCACAGTGTCAAATGATTCACTCGCAATGGCCAGGGATCGGAGAAAATCTTTATGCGTCAGGAATGGTTCGGTCGTTTATGTACTCAGCCAACGTACGTTCCACGTACTAATTTATCAGATAATAGAGCTCACCATTCTACTTGATCAAGATTGCTTCTTCAAAGAATAATATTCCGTTTGCACCTTCTTTTCTTTCCTATAAGGGTTAGCTCTATCATGGATCCATAGGAAGCCACCGCTGGCTAAATAATTTTATGAAAGAGCCAGAGGGGAAGTTGCTCTCGCCAAAAGTGCCAACTGCGGTCATTCACGGTAAAGAACCAGTTGGTGATACAGGAAAAAGTTCCAGATGTTCCATCTTCCGGAAATGCAAAATTTGAATGTGACTTTATTATGAGAAGCATTATAACATATTTATGTAGATATAACACAAGCAACTGGTAGGCTCCCTGGGATTCACCTGGCATATTTGTCGAGAGTGTTCTTTGGAAACTTGAAATTATCAAGTTCAGATGAGTTATTGGTGGTTCCTCACATGTTTCGTGGAGCTTCTTCGTTTTTTTTCTAATCATCTGGGGGCAATATGCACTGTCACGTCCCTAATAACGATATCAATCCTTTAATTTATGCACTTCACAGTCTGTCACATTCCCTACAGCTTATTCCTTAGGAATCTGTAGCTCTGTGGGCGGATGAAATTCGAAAGTACGGCGTTCAGCAAGACATCAATGAATGGAGTCACGAGACCGGTCATGCCACTCAGGTTTGCCTTTTTTCTTGAACAACGATTCGGCCATACGTGTTGGGTTGGACTACAACCGCTGCATTCGTTTTGGTCATGCAAGCAATGAGATCAGCGCCGGAAAGGGCCCTACGCTCACTACTAGAAAGCTATGCGCTGTGATCATTTTCGTATCACCGGCTCTCTGGATAGAAAAGAAGCAGCTTCTAACGTATATAATCGAATACGAGGGAAATTTGCTCCCCTGTATGGGATTTGTGTTTTTTTTTCTGCAGTAGATAGATCAGTGGATGCCTTGAAGGAGGAATTCACGATAAGAACGAAGGTCAAAGAAGGGAAAAATTGCATAGTTGGGAGACAGGCGGACCTCCTGAGGGTGCTGACCGACGCGCAATTGGCAGCGAAAGATTTGACCTCGGCGATCCAGCATGGCTCACTCTTGGCGCGGTTGGCGCCCACCGACAATCCAACCCTTCGCCGCAGGTCTATACGTCCATTTCGATGCGTGTTGAGAGAGCAGCAAAGTTCAGGAAGCGAAGCCCCAGGACAGTCATCAACTGGGACCACTTCGCTTCTCCTCGTCAGCTTATGGGAGGATTCCGTCATCGAAAACATCGACGAGGAGTACTATCGGCTCGTTGAACATCTTCACGATTGTGGCAGGAAGGCAGAGAGTTTGAAAGTCACCAAGGGACGTCTGTCTCCGGAAACTCTCGAACTGATACGCCAGCGTGGAGCCGCACGAGCTGCAGGCAATCACCGACTCACGTCCGAGCTTGCGAAGCTATGCAGAGGCGATAAAGGAAGATCTCAAGGAGCGAAGAGCAGCAGTATTAGCTGAAGCAGCAGAGGCTGGGAGGAGCATCCGCAATGCCCGCCGAAGCTTTGCCAGCTACAAGACCAAGATGACCTGCCTCCGACGTCCGGATGGAACAGTTACTGCATCCCGAAGGGCAATGGAGAAAGTCATCCACGACTTCTACTCGGATCTCTTCGATAGCCATGTCCATCTGCCTACTTATCAACTGCAACAGGATGGATACGTCGTCCCCTCAGTTCTCTCTTCCGAAGTCCGACACGCCATCAAGTCGGTGAAGAATCGTACAGCACCCGGTCTCGACAGGCTTAAACCCGAACATCTGAAAAACGCACCGCCAGTTATCATCAGAACTCTGGCTCGACTCTTCACGCGCTACCTGTCGGAATGCAAGGTACCCACTCCGTGGAAAACCAGCAGGACCGTGTTGCTGTACAAGAAGGGAGACTTGGACGACATTGGCAACTATCGCCCAATCTGCCTGCTGTCTGTAATCTACAAGCTATTCACTCGAGTCATCCTTAACAGGATCGGCAGAATACTAGATGAAGGACAGCCATGCGAGCAAGCAGGGTTTCGAAGAGGGTTCAGCACGATCGACCATATCCACACGGTTACAAGACTCATTGAAGTTTCACGAGAGTACAAGATGCCGCTTTGTCTCACGTTCATCGACTTGAAGAAGGCCTTCGACTCTGTGGAGACAGAAGCGGTCATCGAAGCCTTGGGCAACCAGGGCGTCCCTACTCAGTACATCAAGATTCTTCGTGAGCTCTACACAGCAACTTTACGACCAGGATCTCACCATTCTACAAGGAGGTCATCATCGACGTCAAGAGAGGGGTCCGACAGGGCGACACCATCTCGCCCAAACTCTTCAGCGCCGCTCTCGAGAACGTCATGCGTCAACTGGAATGGGAAGACATGGGAGTGAAGGTCGACGGCCGGCAACTACACCACCTTCGTTTTGCTGACGACATCGTTCTTATAACGCCGAACATCGAGCAAGCGGAGCGAATGCTGGCTGATTTCGACTGCGCCTGTGGTAAGGTTGGTCTACAGCTGAACCTAACGAAGACGATGTTTATGAGAAACGGATTGGTTCCTGATGCCCCATTCACGCTCAACGGAACGAACATCACCGAATGCTCCAGCTACGTGTACCTAGGTCGGGAAATCAATATGATGAACGATCTAGCTCCAGAGCTGAGCAGGAGGAAACGAGCGGCATGGGGAGCGTTTAAGGAATCTTGCGCGGAAAAATCATGATTCTATTTCAGCCATAAATCACTGGCTTGAGACTCATTATCCACGATAATAGTGAAAAGAACTGAAGTATTGCTTTCGTTTTGATTAGAAATTCGAACTCGAAAAGGCTGCTACGCGTTCGAATTGCCCACGGACGTCTTTCACGAATGCTGGCGACGGGGATGCTCAAACTTGGTTCTTGGAGTGCATTCACTAGAAGCTCTTTCTGGCCTTCTGCTTCGTTGCATTCACATCTTACACTTCTACTCCATCCTATTCCATCGATCGATTTGTCTCCACTCTCCGAAATCGCGCGCTTTAACCCGATTCTCTCATTGCGTCGCCTGGTACGTAGCCGGCCAAACGCCGTCTTCTTTCCATGCCTCGCCTGGCTCTGCCTCCTGGTCCTTCGATGGTCCATAACGTGTAGTTTTTGTACGTTTGTTTCTCTTCAGAAACCGAATCTTCATGCGTGAAACTTTGTGTGCTATTTCCAGTGATCACAACTGACATATTCATGTTAGGAAAGAGTGCAAGAATTTTCCGCGCAAGATTCCTTTAAGAACATCGAGGGTAGTGAAGAAGACGAAGAACATCCGGCTCCGTGCCCACCTCTTCGATTCCGCTGTCCTTCCTGCCCTAACCTACGCCTCAGAGACTTGGACTCTGCGCAGGCAGGACGAGCATGCGGTCAGCGTTATCCAACGCGCTGTCGAGAGGACGATGCTAGGAGTAACCCTACACGCAAGTGCAGAGGGGAATCCGGAGTGCCGAACTACGCCAACGATCGAAGATCAGGGACGCTGCCGTTTTCGCCAAGGAATCGAAGATAAGGTGGGCCGGACACGTCATGCGATTTTGCGATGACCGTTGGACCAGAGCGGTTACCGACTGGATCCCTCGGGACGTCAAACGAACACCTGGACGACCGCCGGCCCGATGGTCAGACTTCTTCACGAAAGCTCTGAACGAAAGGAATGAAGGACTTCGTGTCCCTCGAGCGAGGAGGATCCACTGGACCACTCTAGCACGCGACAGGGACGAATGGAGACGTTGCTGGCGCCCGCTCGAGCAAATCGATGATCAACGGGACGACAGGTGATACAGGTGACCACCTCTACCTCAATTTCTATGAGCTGCCTTCTCATTGTGAACTCCGCCTCAAAGTCAGACCTATAGAAAGACCCACCCTATTTCCAATCAATCAATATCCGGCAAAATTCTCTTCCTGGCCTGGGCCATCCTGTATACTGCGACAGATTTGACAGTTCCTTTTTGTGTGCAACTGCCTGTACTGATAGCTTAATAATAAATAAATAAACAAGTAAATAAGTAATAACACAAAAAATCATTATTTTAAAGATTTTCTGGGATACAACTTATTCTGTGGGATGTGGAGTGATCAAGTGTGATGACGATCAAACAAGTGTTGTTTGCCACTACTACCCTCAGTAAGATTTTATCCGATATTTTAGTTGAATTCAACTTTTGCTGCCCGTGAAAGTGACCGGCTCCATGGAAAAGCTCACCGGCGGCGCGGACGCGTTCGCGTGTTGGTGACGTCACAACGGCGGCGAGGGAGCGAGCAAGGGCCAGCTTTGCCACAATTATTTACTTCAATACATTAGGTACTCATCGTCAGAGCATCTATCGCACTCTTAGTTCACTAGTGGAAGTAAGTGTGAATCGAACTCGAAGAACACTCAGTTTATTCAAATTCAACTTGACAGTGCAGTCTTAAGTGTTTACACATGAAAGCCTCGACTTTCTCTACATTTTGGAAAAAATTCAATTCCTAGGGATTGGTACCTGAACATAGCACAACCATTTCGCTGGCGGCACAACAGATTGAACTAGTGGGTATATTGCCAGAAGCCCAACTTTATTCAAGCAAAGTGGCAGCGGCACTCGCCTTCCTCCGAATCTGCCGCAGCTGCGACGTCATTTTGACGTCACTGGCACGCGCTCGCGTCCGCGCCGCCGGTGAACCTTTCTGTCCCCCCAAAGTGACTACCCCTTGTTTTTCTCGAATGGGGTTGCACATGTGTAAAGCGTGTCCCGAGATTAGAAAGTGGTTTGTAATACAAATACAATACAAAGTGTTCCTTCTTTACAGAGGAAATTTTCGAGGAATGAAGTGGTACACTGCCGGTAAAACACTATCAGAATGTGGCAAACCAAGGAAACCTTATATTCCTGAAGATGCTCCGGAAGGATTTGTCCCTACTGGTGAATTTAATGAAGAGACCCATAGAAGAAAGAGAACGGCAAGCAGCAAAAGAAGTCCCACACTATAATACTGG